CAGTTGCGCTGTCTAGCACTGCACATTGTCCTTTTTGCTGCGAAGTAGATAATTATTTCTCAGTATTCATACTCGCCCAGATTAGGAAAGGGCCATTTGTTTTACTTGCCTGATCCGCGAGCCCGAAATGTGAAGAAAACGTATGTTATGTTTTAGAAATGAAGACTTGCACTATCACGCACTGCCAGAAAAGAAAATGTAGTGCCTACACTTGGGAACAGCGAAAGGTGTATAGACCAATGTTCCAATATTCGGGCACTTGGGTAGCAGGGATGTCGAAATTTGTCAGTGCTATACACCCCGAGTTGGGGCTCACTCCCTGCCAACCCGCTCCTTGCTCAAAATCGGCCAATCAGCATCGCATCGAACGGCTGTCAACCCAGTATCTAGGCGACTCAGGCTTGACATACGGGTTGAGCAGGTCAGACGTCTGGTTTCGGGGGCAAATGGCAACGATAGGTACCAGCGAATTGCCTGCGAGGGTCACCGGAGAGCCAGGATCATTGTAGCACGAGCTCATATTTACATGCTGCTCGCCTTACTGGATGAATTTTGGAACGCTGCCATAGCTATGTCATCAGTTTTGCGTATCATGCTCGGAAAATTGTTAGATAGTGCCGGTGCGGTATCGGGACGGAAATGGTAGGCATGCCGTCACCTACAAGCGCGGTCAACTGGCGGGGCGTTATCGCAACAATGCGCCCAGTGATCACCGTTGTCAGCGGGCAAGTTCAGTTTACATTGCTGAGTGCTAACTACAGCCGAGAGGCTAGAGAGCGCTGCACGCGTGCAGGTTATGCTCAGTGCCGTCGGTAGATATGACTGCACGCACAGCTGCGGACATGCCCGAGTGCTGTGGACAACCGCGACTGCACCGCACGGTTACAGTTTGACCCCGGTGCAGTCAGCGGCATGCACTGATCCACTGCAGTAACGTCACAATGCCGCGGCAAGTCTGTGCAAGTACAATCCGTGTTCGCTGTAATCGGCGAGCAGGAGTGCGTGATTAAAATCAGTGAAGAGCGATGCTGAGGCCGCATAGCGCCGCGCAATTGAAGCCGGCGTTCAGTGCAGCTCGCGGTTGTAACTGCACCGCTGCAGTGAGCGGCAAGTGCATGAGGCGGTAGGATATGCTGTACAGCAGCAGTTCGTGCTCAGCGCAATCGGAGAGTGAGCGGTATTATTCCAGTACGTATGAGTGCAGTCCACCGGCAGCACTGCACAAAAACCCGCAGTCCTTAATCGGCGTAATACACCACTGGATTAACTGGGCCATTCCAGTACATGATACGGGCAGTGGGCACACGGAAACGCAATGGCCGGTGTACCTTCGTGCGGCTATCAAGTTTGTGTGACCGAAAGCTGACACAGTGAACATTCGTTTCATTGTATACCAATTAACGTTTGGTCATAATGTGATCAAATCGTTTTGATCCACAGGGCAGAAAGACGCCTGCATTTTAGAACTGTTTCTTCACGAAAGCCATCGCAATGTGGCTTTTCTAAGGCTTTCAGTCCGAACACATACAATTCTTGTAAGCCGCGCAAGATTCTTTCCTGAAAAGAAACCGATTCGAATTATTACCCCACTCAGAGTGCTGCTTGGCTTGACACGTGAGCTCTGGCGATTTTCCGGTTGGAACGTTCTCTAGCACTCGCAAGCAGTGGAATGGCGTGTGTTTCTGCAGGATCACTTTACGCTAGAGTTCATGTCTTTCTACGTAGAATGCCCTCTAAATATTTTCATGTTGTGCTCCTTTGCTAGGCCGACCTTGCCCCGAGTTGTACACTTATCAGGTCACGATTTTGAGAAAAGAAAACCGTGAACTAGTATAAGGTTCATCGCTGGTATGATCGCATCCGATCCGACTCACGCTTCTAGGTATGGCGCTCATGTATTGCCAGACGGCAAACCTTCCCTGAGATCACATTCTAAGGCATACTCTGCGCTAACTTTCCAAGGAATGTGGAGTGTGGGGAGCATATGTTGTACGACCAGTCCGGCTGAGTTTGAAAATAATCGACTTAAACTGACTAAAAAAAATCCAAATTATGCCGACACTGACAAATACTGTTGGCAGCAGTCTGCTCCAGTGAAAATATCGGTGGAGAGTGATGGCACACAGGGTTTGCATGCAATGTATTGGTGGTTCTAATGAAGGGGCGGGTCAGTATCTGAAGCCCTAGGATTACCAACCGCCAGACCTGTGTTCATTTTATTTTTTAAAGCCGGCATAGGACCGGCTCACATGATTTGGGATCCGACTCAAGTAATATCTCATAGCCGTTCCATTTTTCCCCTCAGTTAGGACTTATTAATTGCATTTAATCATTTGAGTCATGACTCACACATGATTTAGCAGTCTTGTGACACGCATCACGCATACACACACGCACACACATAGGGGAGAGTTAGTCAGTTTTTTTTCTCTGCGCTCCCTTATACCACTACTACTCAGGATAGGACCAAGATGCATTTTCCGCAGACAGCTATAACCATCAGGCACATGTTTAACAGTAGATTTTTAGAGAGCACACCTTCGTATTTTGGGAAATGATCTAGAAATGGAATGAGCTCCTTCAAATAATGCAACCTGCCCCACCCAGAAATAATTTGTATAACACCGTGTGCGAAATTGTATTTTTTGCATGGAGTAGAGCGCATGGGAAGCGAGCTAATTATGTTCCAATCTGTAAACGAGAGACGTTGGTTTTTCTTTCTAATTTGTTGTTCGTCGTGATTGCGACATGACAATTTCCTGCCTTTCTTATCAGCCATAGATATTGTTCAACTACTGCCGGCTCGGTTTCGATTACTTGGGTAGGGATTGTGGACCCACGAAGGTACTGTAAGCGCCGAATAAACGCGTGGATGGCGATAAGCCATGGAAATCATGTTACTCAATCATTGATAGAACCGTCAATGATGTTTTTCATTGTATATTAAGCTTCAATGGTAATTGTCGGTACACTGTATCACTGAGTGTTTTGCGGCATATGCGGGGCGTGCACTTCTCACCACTCAGGACGCGTTCAGGTTACTTTGATCGTGCCGCAAGACCTTAACACACATTTCCACCGGTCGCTAGAGTGTTCATCGACATACAAAAAGCATATCTGTCGCACTCACTCCAAGACGCATGGACGTATGCAGCCAGCAATACACTGACAGGCAGAGGGCGATGCTGAGCGCCAGTCAAGTGACGTCAGACCGATGTTTGTCGCGTATATTCAGATCGAGCTGCCCTGATACTGCTTGAACAAGTTGTAACTCACCCCACTGTCCCCTATGACATCTGAGAGTTACTGTAGGCTTGTAGCCAGCTGTGAAGCGTTTAAATTGCCCTCAAATGCGCATTACATTGAATGTATTGATTCCTATATATCAGCTGGGAAAGGTGGCATTCCGCAGTAACGTCAGCAGTAAAGTATATCGTTCAACTTCGAGTACTAACACACAATAATTTTGTATTTGCCTCTCGATATGCATGGCAATGAGAGCTCGCTCTTAATCTAATCTGATGTTTTAATTACTACTAAGGTGAAAGGCATGACGCATGGATTGTGATTTGCAACTTTCTTTGAGTATTAATGACACTTGACCTTACTTCCTATCACTTACCCCATCTTGTTTGATGTTATAGCTTAGTGGTAGCATATTCTTAGTACGTTTTCCAAGCATTACATCCTTAACTTCAGGCAAACGTGTGGTGTTTGCAGGTTTCAAGCAAAAATGTCAAAACTACAGCAGGCGCTTGAAACACGCCCAGTCATAGAAGAAAACGTTCCATTGCAACGCTTTCTCCTCTCTTCCCATTGTGAAACAGCCGAGTTCTCTGCAGTTTATACCTAAAATTCCCGGAAACCAGGATTGAACCGGAGACTTTACGATCTTCAGTCTCACGATATTTAGTGAAAAAGAGCAACAAACTCAAACAAGTGCCCTACTTTTTTCAACTTTCCCTACGGTTCCCACCGGCCTTGCTCACCGCTGATGCACGCCGCAATCAACAAAAATGGAATGGATTATGCTGTTTAATAATTCTAATAACATGCTCGGTTTCAGGCAATGCGGTTTCATGACTTGGTTTTATTAACATGACATAATGAGGCTTGTGTTCCGGAACTCTCTCACTTAAGGAGCCGTTGAAGCTCATCGTATGGCATTTGACCTACGGTCCGGGGCCATTTCTCGTAGCCGTGAACGAAGGTCACAAAGGCTCAACATTCTTAATTGTCGCATCATGGAGTGTCAGGTTATGTATAGCTTGACGGGTTTACTACTTCTGATGGTAGAGAAACACGAACTTAAGACAACCCATGTCGCACACGACCTCCAACGTGGCTCAGGCTCTAGCTTTTGATTACTGACCTGATGGAATCAAAATCACAAATTTGGCTTCAGTACTGCAGGTCACCCTTCACCCCTAAAATTTTCAGGAATAGTTATGATTCCCAAAATTTTGCTCCTTAGTGAGCGTATCCACGCACGTTACAAACATTACCGCACATCTCAACGACAGCACTATTCTTTCGTATGAATCTATCTCCCAAGCCGTCGGGTTTCGCCTCCCATATTTCCACCTGCGTATTTGTGCTCTCCAACCAGTCTGTGACACCATCAACCCCACAGCTGCATTGGGCAATTTTCGGAGTTTCGCGCACTCCCAGCGCTCACTAATCCCTCCACCGTGTTGGTCGTATGCTGTCTGCGCTGCCATGCCGCTTCAGCAGCGTGCTGACCTGTCGGTGGACGCCCACGTTCAGCACCAGCCTCTGTCTCCCATCACTATTTGCGGCTGACATTTATCGCCCTCCTGTTTTTGCAGTCAATATTTTTCGTCCCCTAGCCGTCTGCCCCCAGCAGAAATAACCTTTTCGTGACAGCTGACCTGTCTGGTTCCTTCCCTGACGACCCCGCAGCGTGGTGACAGCGAACCCGGAACCTCAGCGGCACGAGCCGTATAAAAACCGCGCCTGTACCCCCTGGTAATGTAGTCCCGCAGGCAGGCAGCTGGGGTAGAGTCATGCTGCGGTTCCTCCTTCTGGTGGCCCTTTCGGCCAGTGCCCTGGGCCATGACTACGGGTACAGCCACGGGTATCGAAGTATCAACTTGAGACCCTATTGGCACGCCAGGTACCTGGCCCCGATCCGCCTGCGTTACCCGGGTATCACTGACTCCACCGCCAGTTACATCGCGTACTACATCCTGAACAACCCGTCCCGGCTGATCTTGCCCCGCCTCCGTCTGCCGAATATCATTTACGGGGTGAGTATCTGTAGCCTGACGATGGGCCAATGAGTGCCGCGATGCTGAAAGGGATGCAAACCTATCGACAGCAAATACAGTACGGACCACTTATCTTTAGACTGTTTTTACTTTGCACGGCCGCGGCATAGTTGTGTCTGTTGGCCTGGCTTTGAATGGCCTGACTGATTGGTCGGTTAGACATTGCAAACCTCACATCCCCCTGGCAGTGTAGTCCGACTTACAGGCATAGCCACCATTGACCTCGGATGGTGGCCACACATTCCTCCAATGCGGAGCGATGTTACCACTGTCGCCGTTCGACTCTCAGGCTCCTGAAGCACGGCGTCCAGTCGACACACTATACCTGATCCCACGTCCAACTGCCCAAGGTTGGACCATGCTAATCAGGCTTGCGGGATGACGCTCCCACCAAAGGCTGACGTCAGCAGGCCCCTGCTGGCATCAGTGATCACTCGTCTCTGTCCGTCGAGCAGAGGCCGGTGCCGGTTCGATACTGGGTCACCTACATCACTTCCCTGATCGACCTGCTGCCACCTGTGTTCTACCAAAGCAACAACTACGTCACCCATCTGAGCTCCTATGTGAACCAGTACTACCCCGGCGTCGTCACCGGCGGCCTGTACACGGTGAGTGGACAGCTGCCATCCAGCTGCAGCTGGCGACGAGGTGGGCAGCAGCTCGAGCCATCGCATTTATCTAGTTCATAGTCGTGGCGGTGGGCGAAATTATTTCTTCGCAGCGGTGGTTTGTCTTTTCCACAAGCATACGGAATGTTGCTGGAAAGTACGCGACGCATGTAGCACAGGTTTCTAGAAAAAGTTCGACAGAAGCTTCTGAGGCAAAGGTTACGTCCTTTGATTCATATCATCCTGAAATAAAGTACCCCCTCGAGATGCGTTGCGAACTGTTACTAAAGCAGCAGTTTAAATAAATGAAAATCTTACTTGGGTAATGACAGCAAGAAGTTGTCCCTTAATATCAAGTGCTTACGTTTTTCTGAGAAAGTATTTTTTTCATAAAGAAAAAATATACGCTGGAAAGATATCCTTGCAATATTTTAACGGTATATGCTTACATCCCATAATATGATGCACCCACTTCACCGCAGGTTTTAAGTTGGTTTTGCATCCTGCAACATGCATTCGTCTCCGGCTTACAGCCTAAAAGACAACTGGCCCCTGCATAATGCATGCTATTTCAGAGCCACCTGGCACTGTGCGACATCTACTTTGCCAACCACCTTCTGGCACCTATCTCCTGGAACGCGTTCAGAGGCTTCTACGGCCAGTACGTCCTCCATCACGGCCACGGTGAGTGGTGCTGACCACAAGGTGAGGTACACCGTCACCAGCGCGCGCCGAGACGCCCGACGGCAGCAGACGCCCGAGGTGGGCACCGGGTGGGCACGTGCTGCCCCAGCCTTGCCCGGCACCGGCCCAAAGGGAGCGATGTGCACACAGGCTTCAACAGTTTACTTGACGCGGGAGAGCCAGAGGCCCCATCCTCGCACTCATAAACGTTACTAAATCCGCGCCGTGCACTAATCCATGGAGCCACGAAACACACGTGTTTATAATATGACCGACAAATGTATGGTGTGTTCGCCGGTAAGCAGGGCGTAACACATAATGACGTTTCGAAGCCGCTTTGAGTTGATGCGAGAGAAGAGCGTGATCGACAATGGTCCCCAGTGGTTTGTTATTGCATACGGTCCACCTCCTTCCAGGCAATGTGTTCCCCCCGCTGGTGTGATTGCGACCCGCCTGGGTGGCTACAACTACGGAGTGGGCAGGTACTTCCGCAGAATCAGGCTCCGTTCGCTTGTGCACGTAAGGTGTAGACAACCATCTCATGCAACTGTATGTCATCGCCGCAGTGGTCAACTACAGGGGGGCATTCTCAATGCATGTTTTAAAACATTTAGCAAATGGTGCATAAGTCTGTGTAAACAAAGCATTGTCAGCCTAACGACATGTGCGTTGAGGACTATCTAAACTGTGGACAGCTGATCAGGTATGTTGGTAAACGCGTTAGCAAACCAAAGAGACGCTGGAAATATCAACAGGAATGGGGACTGCTGGCTGGTACCACTGCATCACAATGTGACAAGAACTGTGACGCACTACATGACACATAATTCACGTCAGCGTTTGCAATAGAAGGAGGGCGAAGGGAAGAGGGAAGAGGTGAACAAGAGACGACTGCAATGAGGCAACGGGCGGTCCGTTTCCATGGATTTCACAAATGTCCCTCCGGCCTAGGATCGCTGATGATCATGCCTTTCCGGTCGCCAGGGAAAAGACCCACATCCAGTTCCCGACGCTGCCCGTGTTCCGCCCGTCGTCGCTCGTGTACCAGCGGATCACGCAGCGTGGCGTGTACCGGTACGTGAATAGCTACTACCCGTACGGCTGGTCGCGCTACATCAACCGGCTCAGGTCGTACAAGTTCCCCACGACGACGACCATCTCCACCTCTTCGTCATACGTGAGTGGGCTGCGGCGCAGCCGCACCTGTTGCCGCTGAGGCGGACTGAGGGTCACAGGTCAACAGACATCCGATGTCCCGCTGTCTCGAGGCCGCCTTTTCCTTACAGGATCGTTTGTTATGCATGCATGTTCGGGAAAGGCGTCGAAACCGCCTCATGGAAATGTGGCCAGAATGAGGATGTTCTTCCGGTCTCTGGGGCTCAAGTCTCTCAAAAACGGACGCTGGTTGATCTTAGCAGATGTCATAGGGAGACGGAGGCCATGTCAGTGGGCCATTCAGCAGCGCGCTAACTGCAAGATGCCCTGGTGCCGGTGGTGCGATGACCTAGTCCATCAGTATTTCAGACGAGCAGAGCCGGTGACCTGACCTGAGACCTTCGACGTTACAGTTCAGTGGGCTGCCGCACCTGTCCTTCCTGACCAGCCCGGTCATCCAGCGTGACCTGATCTCCGTGCTGCGTCTGCGCTTCTCCAGCTACCCGTCCGGTATCATCTACAGCAAGAGGCTGCGGTTCCCCACCTTCGTCCGTGGTTTCCTCCGCCAATGGGTGAGCAGAGGCGGCTCTATTATCGGATGGATCCGGCACACGAGCCATAGTGCTGCCGCTAACACCAAACGCCTATTGGACGTTCGAGTGTTTGAGGAGTGAGACCTTTCTGAACATTTGCTCCACTCGCTGGTTGGTGTCGTCCAGATCTGGTCTGTCTGTCCTCCAGTGACGTGAGGCGCTATGCTGCTGTCATGCTGACGCGCTGCCGTTGATTTGCAGCGTCCGCGCTACCACAGCTACACGCCCAGATTCGTGAGCAGCTGCCTCGTGGCCTTCGACAACTATGCGTGCCACTGGCTGCGGCGGTACAACAAGTTCTCCCACTGCTCGTCCAAGAAGCTGTGGGGCAAGTACTGGTAGGGCGTCTCAGTTCGGGTCGCCAGTCGTCAGTCATTCGTTCCAGTTTAAAACAAGGATGAACTCGGATTGATTTCAGAAGCTGCTGTTTCCGCTGACGTTTTCTTCCTGAATTGGTGTTCACTGAGTTCAATACAAGTTCGGTCGTGTACAGTATTTGTGTGGCACCCGTGTGGGTGACTCACCTCTGCATACATAGCAGCAGAGGCAGGATAGCCAAGACAACGATGAGCAGACCTTAGGCAATCGTTCGCTTACGAGCAATGTTTTCTGTCACGAACGTTACAAGAATACTACCGAAAAGCGCAAACAAAGGGACTGAAATATAGACTAACTACAAACTCAGCCACGAACCCCTGTGAACCAAAAATATTGCGTTCTAAAACCTCAAAACCTAACTAATTTTGTGGATTTTCTCGCCTCCACGTCGACGAGCATGCAACATTTACAGAAAATGAAACAGTTAACGGAGATTAAAACGCACGCTATGCGACAATGTTTGTTTATCTGTTGGAAAACTGCCTTTTGTTTGTTTATCTGTTTTTCCAGAGTGCTTTCCGATCGGCGCGGCGTAGCCGCGCCAAATTTCGCATGGCTGTGAACAATTGAATAGCGGTTTGTCCGGTTCAGGCCGTGGTTTCAGCGAAGCCAATTTCTAAGGAATCGTTCAATCTGTTCTAGCAATGGAGAGTTAGACGAAGCCATACATCTCTGAGATATTTTCTTAGGCAACTCAACGATTGAATGAACAAATTGTATTGACCTAAGGTCAGATATTAAGGTCATAACAAGATCAAAACTTACCCGTTTTATTACTCTAGCGCTTGCTGTATGGGGCACTTCCTGGCGCTTTTTTCGAATTTATTGAAAGCAGGAACCGCATTACACAACTTCCATAGGTTTCTTAAAGGTCAGAATAGGTCAATGACCTAGAATGACCAAGGTCAACATATTGTTTTTAAGAGCATACTGCCTAGCGTAATCTTTGTCGCTGATACCACTGCAAAACTTAAAGCGGTCTTGTACGATTTTTGTCTCTATGACCTTCAAAGGGTCAAACAAGGTCACTGACCTTATATGAGCACGTGACTATCCACTTAGAACACTTATCCAGGTTCTGAGGGCCCTTCGGAGACAAACCTGGAATTTGACCTTGTTTGACCTTCTTTGGCCTGAAGGTCATAAGCTAGGAGCTTCAAACTTTGGCCTAAGTGAGTTCACGTACAGGTTAACACACCCTGTGAACTCAGCGTCTCTAGCTCACTTATTTCATGAAATTGCAAGGGGTCAAATTGACTCTCCTCCACCCGAGCGACGGGCATCCAACCGGCCATCCGGGCACGTGTTAAGTAAGCATTACTTCTTTTGAGAAAATACACCACTTCGAGGTTGTAATAATAGATCAGCTTCAACAGAAAATGAACTTTAAAAACGGGGAAAGAATAAAAAACATACTTTTCCAATAACCAATACTGACTGGCCGTGTCAGCACGGATGCCATATCTGGTGTGCCAAACGGCCAGTGCGACGGCAAATGCAGAGAAGCAAAACTCGCGTGTGTACGCACCACGTGCTGCTCATCGTAGCTATCTCAAAATAAATATCCTTGTATACATGCGTTGCCAAGAGCAGCGCACCAAGTCTGAAAACTCTATATCATTCTATTATCGACAGACAGACCATCCGAAATGCAAGGGCGTGAAGTTTGCGCGTGCTACCCCAATTATCAGCTGGGTCTTTGGCATCACTCGTTTGACACCAGCGACATAGCCGCACAACTTGCTTGGACATCAAGCGCTGGTGCGATAAAATTTCGCGCGTGGTAACACCTGCTGAATAAACTGTCCTGCCGCCCAATTACATTGTAGCATTGCGAACACCGACGGTCGACTCCCAGCTCAGGTGTGGGGTACCGAGGATTGCAGTTATAGGGGTATAAACCGGGCGCGAACACCTCGCGCACAGCGAATCATTAACCTTCTCGACTAACGGTGACAAATTCACCGCCGGTAAACCATCTAATGGCTTAGTTTAGCGGCCGGAGCTCCACGCGTTGGCGATCGGGAGGGGGGGGGGGGGGGCTCTGTCCAAAAGCAGCACCCGTCTGAAAGGCATGACGAGTGCCGCTTGCCACCCTTGACCCCCAGTGCATCATGGATCACATCGAGGTTCATGCACTGCTCGCGGGCATGACCACTGAGACCAGCCGCTGCGCTCCAGTCGCGACCCGCCCGACCCCTGCAGACCAACGGCACCGCGCGGGTCGGGTCACCCGGTCTCTGGTCGGCCGCGCGCCGCGTAACGCCCGGCACCGATCGGACCAAAACCGTCGCCACAGTCGTGGCGCTGAACCAGAGTATCCGACGATCCAGGTTTGGTGATGGTCAGTTCAGAGGCTCAGGCTGTGCGTACCCAAACACTTAGACGCGCGCCCTCACTCACAGAGCGGCAGCAGACAAACGGTGTACCGTTAAGCTTAAACATTCGCCCTCACTTACAGACCGGCGCAGACAAACGGTGTACCGTTAAGCGGAGCGACGGACAGACATGAAATAGCAGCACGCTAATGCGAGCAAAGCACGCCTTCAGTTATTTTATAGTCTGCACTAGAGGCAAACCAATGCGCACGAGCATCGGCTTGAGGTCAAAACTGAGCCGCATCAACGCAGCTAAGCAGACAACAGGAAATTGTTCCTCACATAGCAGCCGTGAGCATCCAGCAGTACACAACTCCGCCCTCTCTCGCCTATTCCGTCATCGGCATAGTCTCACGCAAAGCGTGAGGGAACACATCTGTGCGTGCAGCTGTAGCGTCGAGGTTGTCCGAACACCAGCAAGATGAGGCTTACGTCGGATCTTGCACGTCTTGTGAGCTGTGATATTGAAATTTCCATGCCTCCCACCCGGCTCTGATTTGTTGCTTCTTAGTGCACGTCGCTAGTAAATCTGTCAGACGCCATGCAAGACCAAGAAAAATATGATTGTCAACCCGTTTATATCTGACGTTCTCGAGCACGGTTTCCAGATACCACGGACACCAAGTGGTTCTCATTGAATATAGTGGAAGGCAAGATGGCATAATCAAACAGTTACATACTGAGCAGTATCTTTACTGAACAGAGAAATTGTGTTGACCAGCCTTTTCCACCCAAAAGTATGCCCATTTATGTAGGCGAGCTTAAATTGTTGTCTGATGCTTGCTGCAATATCGTTAGATGTGGAACACTTCCGTCAAGAAAATCAAAACTACTTTCAGAGCCATTGAAGGTTATCGCGTGACCTCCAAATTTTGGTCACGGAACATTTTTTTTTACAGTGACCAAGGGTCATGAAAACTCGGTGATGTTATTTATCGCCTATGGAGAGTCAGAAAAAGTATAGTTTGATGGGTTTACTAATTTTGTGAACAGGCAAAACAGAAAATGCGTTGGAATCAGCCCACGTCACACGCAGCCTTCGATTTTGCTCAGGCTTTAGCTTTTAACTGCTTTATCTGACCGCCTTAAGATTATTGAATTGGGCTTAATCTATGCCGATCTCCCTCTACAGCACGTTTGAGAGAAATTCGTAAGCTGAAGAAGAATCCAACCTCGCCAGCACACGCCTCGGGCTCTGATCGTTAACCCCTCCGCTGTGCCTCCCCCTCGTGTTCCCAAGTATGGTGCACCCCCGCGAAATATGTAGCATGTGGCCACCGCGAGCTGATCCACCCTGTCATATCAACCCAGAACTGCTGTTGCGAGGAAAAGTCGAGCCGGCGGGGACTTTTACCAGCATTAATTACGCTGGACCAGAAGCAGGCAATCAATATTAGATATCCTTAGAAATAGCAGCGTACTGTAATCTTACGCCGGATAAGTGCATTTCAGCTGAAGGATGGTACGAGTAACGATGTGGACACAAATGAGGCTTATGATGCATGTAGAATGAGAAGAACCACAGTAATGGTCTCAATGCGAAATGAACTCCACACAAAGCTGTGTTACCCGGCGAGGCGCTTGCACGCATGTTATGAATATTACTGCTGCTGTACGATATCAGCACAATTTCGCACGACTCATCTCCCAAACCGTCTGGTTTCCCCTCCCAAATTCCATCCAGTTATATTTATGCTCTCCCAGTCTGTGACACCATCAACCCCACAGCTGCATTAGGCAGTTTTCGGAGTTTCGCGCACTCCCAAGCCTCACTAATCCCTCCACCCTGTTGGTCTTATACTATCTGCGCTGCCATGCCGCTACAGCAGCGCGCTGACCTGTCGGTGAACGCCCACGTTCAGCACCAGCCGTTGCATCTCATAGCTAATGACAGCTGAAATTTACCGCCCTCCTGGCTTTGCAGCCAACATTTTTCGTCCTGCAGCCGTTTGCTCCGACCAGAAACAACCTTTCTGTGACAGGTGACCTATCTGGTTCATTGCCTGCCGACTACGCAGTGGAGTGACCGCGAACCCTAAACCTCTTCCCCCACGAGCCGTATAAAAACCGTGCCTGCACGCCTGACAGTGTAGTTCAGCAGGCAGGCAGCTGGGATAGAGTCATGCTGCGGCTCCTCCTTCTGGTGGCCCTCTCGGCCAGTGCCCTGGGCCATGACTACGGGTACGGCCACGGGTATGGAAGTATCAACTTGAGGCCCTACTGGCACGCCAGGTACCTGGCTCCGATCCGCCTGCGTTACCCGGGCATCACCGACTCTACCGCCAGTTACATCGCGTACTACATCCTAAACTACCCGTCCCGGCTGATCTTGCCCCACCTCCGTCTGCAGAATATCGTCTACGGGGTGAGTATCTGTACGCCTGACGGCGGCCCAGTGGCGCGCCGCGATGCTGGAAAGGGTGCGAGCCCAGCGCCTCGGAAGCCTAGTATAGAATATTTGTATTTATACTGCTGTTACTTTGTATGACCGCGGCATGGTTCGTGTTTTGCCGGCGTAACTTTAAACGGCGTGAGTTTATTGGTCAGTAGACATCACACGTACCCTGCCTCTCCCCCCCCCCCCCCCCCCCCCCCCCCCGCCTGGCAGTGTAGTCCGACTCACAGGCATAACCACCATTGACCTCGGAAAGTGGCCACACATACACACCACGCCTGATTCCGCGTCCAACTGCCCAAGGCTGGACCATGCTAATCAGGCTTGCGGGATGACGCTCCCACCAAAGGCTGACGCCAGCAGGCCCCTGCTGGCATCAGTGATCACTCGTCTCTGTCCGTCCGGCAGAGGCCGGTGCCGGTTCAATACTGGGTCACCTACATCACCTCGCTGATCGACCTGCTGCCACCTGTGTTCTATCAAGGCACATACGGCTCCCATCTGAGCACCTATGTGAACCAGTACTACCCAGGCGTTGTCAACAGCGGGCTGTACTTGGTGAGTGGAAACCTGCTGTCCAGCTGCAGCCGGCGCTAGGGCCAGCAGCAGCTGCAGTCGTCGCATGAGGCCCTTTCGAGCCCGTGGTGGTAATCGGAATTCTTTCTTCATGACGGTGAATTATTTCTGGGTCAATATTACGTGATTGTTGCTGGGGAGTGGGTGGCACAAGAATCATGGGTTTAAAGAAAAAATTTAAACAGAAACGTCTGAAGGCAAGGGTACCCTGTCCAATTAATGGCACCCTGAAATAAAGTGCCCTCTCGGACTGTGCTGCGAACTCTTACTTGAGCAGCAACTTAGGTATGTGCAAAATCTTAAGTGGGTGACGACAGTAAGAAGCAGCCTCTCAATACCATGTGCTTGCATTATCCTGAGATATGTTAGAAATCTACTTTCAAAATGTTTGCATGGTATTTGCTCGCATCCTCCATCATGCACCCACTTCACCGCAGGTTTGGAATCGGCCTAGCGTCTCATAACACGCAGTCACCTCCGGCATGCAGCTTAAAACATAACTGGCCCCTGCATAACGCATGCCATTTCAGAGCCACCTGGCGCTGTGCGACATCTACTTTGCCAACCACCTTCTGGCACCCATCTCCTGGAACGCGTTCAGAGGCTTCTACGGCCAGTACGTCCTCCATCACGGCCACGGTGAGTGGTGCTGACCACAAGGTGAGGTACACCGTCACCAGCGCGCGCCGAGACGCCCGACGGCAGCAGACGCCCGAGGTGGGCACCGGGTGGGCACGTGCTGCCCCAGCCTTGCCCGGCACCGGCCCAAAGGGAGCGATGTGCACACAGGCTTCAACAGTTTACTTGACGCTGGAGAGCCAGAGGCCCCATCCTCGCACTCATAAACGTTACTAAATCCGTGCCGTGCACTAATCCATGGAGTCATGAATTAAACGTGTCCATAACATGGCCGTCAAATGCGCAGTGTGTTCGCCGTTAAAGATCGCGTAACACATGACAATGTTTCAAAGCCACTTTAAGTTGATGCGAGAATGAGCGCAGTCGAAATTTTAGGTCACCCGCGTACGAACGTCGGTTATCGGTAATCGCATTTATCCGACCAGTGCTATCCTGAACGCCTTCAAAATCAATAGTTAACCTCCAATGGCCTCCAACAGTCTCCATTGCATGCCGTCCACCCCTTTCCAGGCAATGCGTTCCCGGCGCTGGGTGTGATTGCGTCCCGCCTGAGTGGCTACAACTATGGGGTGGACAGGTACTTCCGCAGGATCAGCCTTCCTTCTCTCCTGCATGTAAGTATAGACAACCATCTATTGTAATTGTAAGCCATCACCGCAATGGACAACTGCTTGGATATCCTTTCAATTTATGTTATAAAACAATCAACAAAGGATGCATGTGCCCACCTCAACAAAGATTTCAGGCTTAAGACAGCGTACCTAATCGCTATCTAAGCTGTTGCTCACTCAGCAAGGCTACAATTTAGTCCGACAGAAAGCTGAAAAAGTGCGAAATATTAACAACGCTTGGGACTGCTAGCTGGCACCACTGCAATGCTATATGACAGGAAAGGGAGAGAGAGGGACCGCTGATGATCGTGCCTTTCCGGTCGCCAGGGGAAGAACCACATCCGGTTCCCGACGCTGCCCGTGTTCCGCCCGTCGTCGCTCGTGTACCAGCGGATCACGCAGCGTGGCGTGTACCGGTACGTGAATAGCTACTACCCGTACGGCTGGTCGCGCTACATCAACCGGCTCAGGTCGTACAAGTTCCCCACGACGACGACCATCTCCACCTCTTCGTCATACGTGAGTGGGCTGCGGCGCAGCCGCACCTGTTGCCGCTGAGGCGGACTGAGGGTCACAGGTCAACAGACGTCCGATGTCCCGCTGTCTCGAGGCCGCCTTTTCCTTACAGGATCGTCTGTTGTGCATGAATGTTCGGGAAAGGCGTCGAAACCGCCTCATGGAAAGGTGGCCAGCATGAGGATGTTCTTCCGGTCTCTGGGGCTCAGGTCTCTTAAAAACGGACGCTGGTTGATCTTAGCAGATGTCAGAGAGAGACGGAGGCCATGCCAGTGGGCCATTCAGCAGCGCGCTAACTGCAAGATGCCCTGGCGCCGGTGGTGCGATGACCTAGCCCATCAGTATTTCAGACGAGCAGAGCCGGTGACCTGACCTGAGACCTTCGACGTTACAGTTCAGTGGGCTGCCGCACCTGTCCTTCCTGACCAGCCCGGTCATCCAGCGTGACCTGATCTCCGTGCTGCGTCTCGCTTCTCCAGCTACCCGTCCGGTATCATCTACAGCAAGAGGTTGCGGTTCCCCACCTTCGTCCGTGGTTTCCTCCGCCAATGGTGTGAGCAGAGGCGGCTCTATTATCGGATGGATCCGGCAGACGGGCCATAGTGCTGCCGCTAAACCCAAACGTCTATTGGATGTTCGAATGTTTGAGGAGTGAGACCCTTCTGAACATTTGCTCCACTCGCTGGTTGGTGTCGTCCAGATCTGGTCTGTCTGTCCTCCAGTGACGTGAGGCGCTATGCTGCTGTCATGCTGACGCGCTGCCGTGATTTGCAGCGTCCGCGCTACCACAGCTACACGCCCAGATTCGTGAGCAGCTGCCTCGTGGCCTTCGACAACTATGCGTGCCACTGGCTGCGGCGGGTACAACAAGTTTCTCCCACTGCTCGTCCAAGAAGCTGTGGGGCAAGTACTGGTAGGGCGTCTCAGTTCGGGTCGCCAGTCGTCAGTCATTCGTCCAGTTTAAAATAAGGATGAACTCGGATTGATTTCAGAGGCTACTGTGTTCCCGGCGACATTTTCACCTGAATTGGTGCTTACTGAGTTGAATACAAGTTCGGCCGTGTTCGGTATTTGTGGCATCTGTGTGGGTGGCTTACCTCTGGATACATAGCAGCAGAGGCAGGATGGCCACGACGAAGATGAGAAGACCATAGGCAATCGTTCGCTTGCGACCAACTTTTTCGATAACGAACATTGCAAGCAATACTCCTGTAAAAAAAAACGAAGTGAGCAAGACTTGTGGACAAATATGGGGCGTGCGAAACACTCTGAAAAGAGGTTAGAAAAGAGGTGGCGTTAGCGTGCAAATAGTCATTTATGTGCACGTCTTATGGTTCGGGCACTCACGAAGGGTATGATGCAGGTACATGTATTCATTGATTAGAAGTCTGTTTACGTCTGCATTTACATGATTTACATCAACACCATTCCAATTGGGCTAGCAAAGTGTGAAAACAGACGTGTGAGATTTCAAATGGCATCGAATTTTTAGTTTCACCCGTTTTTTATTGTCTTATTTTAGTTTTAAGGATCGGGGTGAGGTATTGCCATCACGGATGGGCAACTTTTCTTACGCAGTAGCACGCTGGTCGGCAAGAAGCATGCACACCTTCTAACGCACCACACGAAGACAATAGACCGAACAGGTATTCCTTCTGTGAATATCGATCGTCAACTTTGTATTCGTTAGTCGTCCACCTTCAAAAATATAATGGCAATGGACCATACTCATAACCGATTGATTGATGATCTGCGGCAACATACGCTCGGGTGGGGAGTCAGTTTGATTCCTCTCGAAAGTTTTTCCAGAATGATTTCCAAACTACGCAGCCCAGCCGCGACACATTTTACACAGCTATAGGTAGCTAAAACCAGATTGCCTGGCACCAATAATGTAGATGTGTGCTGCAAGGTCGCCGACCTACGGCAATTCAGAGTCAGTCCATGGAATCAGCAACGACAATTTCTAGCGAATCGCTCAATCTGATGCATCAACAGAGTGTTAGACAAAGTTATACATCACTGAGATAGTTTTTAAGGCAACACAACAAGTGAATGAATAGCTTATTGACCTAGGGTCAAGTACGAACGTCAGACCAATGTAAAAACCAACCTGTTTTTTACTCTAAAGCTTATTGCATGGGGGTAATTTTTGGTGCTTTCCAATTTATATCTTCCATAAACTTATAAAAGGTCGTAATAAATCACCCACCTAGAATGACCCGGGTCAACATTTCGTGTTTCAGGAAAATATTGCCTAGCGCAATCCTTGACGCTTATTCAGATGAAAAACCAAAGCAGTGTTGTGTGATTTTGATAACCATGACCTTTGAATGGTAAAAAGGCCACTGACCTTAACTGAGCACCAGTGGCCTTTGGCCTAAAACAGATATCTAGGTATAGTGGTTGCATGAGAAAATTTTTGAGGGCACTTTGCGTACCAATCTGGAGTTTGATCTTGTTTGGCCTTACTCGAACCGAAGATCATACTCTAGGAACTTCGGAACTCGATATCAATGAGTTCCTGTACAGTTTGATGCACCCTGTGAATTTGGTGTTTCCAGCTCTCTCAAAATCTGAGATATTAGCGGGGCAAACTTTCCCATTATCCCCCCCCCCCTCCCACCGCAGCAAATAATATTTAACTGGCCCTCCAGATGTGCCAGTGCGCCGCCCGGCTTCACGAAAAATTATGGTACAACATTTTCCGCAACATGCGTCGGGTCCGGGACTAGTTGCATAAAGATATGCAACATCTGGAAAGTCCCATACATATTTAAAACTTCTGCAGCGGAAGCCAGCTACTCTACTCTCAATGCAAGTGATCACAGACTAACACGGCGTCAATCATGCACGTTCATGCACGATGTTTAAAGCGTGCCACGCAAGTAGGCCGGTGTGAAAACGGATAGAAACGCATTAAAACATCATATGAACAATAATGTATGGGAATTGCAGTGTGATAGCGCAACGTAATAAAAAATAATGTGAACATTACGGTATGGAATTAGAGTGTGGTGGCAACACCTTCTGATTTGTGACCGCACCAGCAAAAGCATCGTCTTTGCCAGCAGTAGTTAACACAAGGCTTTGCGGGGTTATGTCCCTTCCGCCCCCGCCCCCCCCCCTTCCCAATCACACACTGACGACACGCCTGTGCGAAGACAGACAGCTTGGGTTACCTGGAATTTCTGACAGCGTTGTCCACAAGAGACCAAGGTAGTCTTCCTGAGACAGCATTTGACACGAAGCCTGGCAAACCTGGCAGGACGAACAAGCAGAAGACGTATTAAAGGGAGAGTTCCACATTTGTATGCGGTTTTGAACCGAAAGAACCGTGTTGAAGGCCTTTTGGTGTAGTTCACGGCCCTGCCCATCTTAAGACCTAAACTCCTCTGGTTTCTGAGCCACACGCTCGCAAAGATGAGACCAGTTCGGGGCGAGTATTTCAAGGTTACTTTGGCATTCATGGCGTCATAATAACGTCATTTAAGTCCTGTTACTGTATAAGCCATGCGGGGATCGAGGCCGAAAAAAATGCGGTGATCCAGCCATTCATATCGGGCGTTCATGAGCACGACTTCCATACATACCGACTGTCAATTGCCTTTCGATTAATGTCATATAAGCTACGATGACGTAATCAAGCAATGATTGGGGAAGGGGGCAAGTCAGTGGCCCTACAGCCCAATAACCCCCGAAATTAATGTTTAGCAAGGTATTTATTGTGTACTGACGGAAAACAATTTGCATTTGTCTTTTTAATTCGGTTTTTACCTAGTCGTCATTAACCCGAACAGCATAATAGTCAATGTCGGAGTACCATGGCCGAAGGAGATGGGCTTCATGCGATAGTTGCACATTGTGGCCAAAAAACAATGCGGGACCACAATCAGCATTTGGGGAACCGCTGCCCTATCTAAAGAATGAAAATTGACGCCCCTGGAAAGGCATTGTGAAATAAATATTGGTGCATTTTACCCGTCGATCTGATTTAGTCATGGAAACCTTGCCTAGACAGGGTACTTCGGGCTGGTTATGACCAAAAACCAAATAAACTCAGGATAAAAGAATGTCGAGTTTTTCGAATTTTGAGAACCCAGTGCTAACACACCGGAAGCATTAGCTTATTATGGTACCATACGTG